TTCGGGGTTCCTAAACCCTGAACTTGAATTCACTTACCGTAATATGGGTATATAGTAAATGAGAAGGCTTCCTTATTCTAGTAACTTGCTTTAATTCCCTTACCTGAACCCCCAAAAGTAGGTAAAATAATAGCCCAACACCCCTGAATATGGCCCAAAAGGCCACTGTTCTACATGAGTTTGGGCTTCAGGTAACAGCAACCCGGGAAACCCTAACCTAAACCCTAAACCTTAAACCCTAAACCCTAAACGCTAGGGTTTGGGGTTCCTTGAGTTTAGGCTGGGGGGCGAGAAGTTCGAGGCTAAGAGCTTGTTGGGTTTAGGGTTGTAGGGGTTTAGGGTGTAGGGGTTTAGGGTTTAGGGGTTTAGAATTTGGGGGTTTAGGGGTTTAGGGTGTAGGGGTTTAGGGTTTAGGGGTTTAGGGTTTTTGGGGTTTGGGGTTTAGAAGCCATATGGGGGATTCCCAAGATTAAGGGGTACCTTTTTCGGGCCCCCATATTAGGATTATGGTATTTTAGGGTCTATATTGGGTTCTCCCTATTTGGGAAATTACCATATCCAGATTTCTAAGCTTGTGGGGAATGTAGTGGGACCCCTATTTACAGAAATGCCACTACAACTATATTATAATGGAGAATGAAATGGAACAGAGGATGGAAATGAAATGGAAGCTAGGATTATCTGGCTTTTGCTGTTTCCCAGAAGGAAGATCATCCTGTTTTGGAGGGTCCAAAGTGGGCAAACAGAGAAACTGCCACAGGTGGCCTACTCCCTGGTGATGTTCACATCATATCCTGTGATGGCTTTCAGCTGCGTTGCCTCCGTCTACCGGCTGTTCTGGGAATTCTGGTCATGCTTCCAGTCCGAAGATGCAGCTTACGCACGCTTCGAGGCCTGCAGCCCTTCTTCCGGTCTTAGCCAGGAGGAGGCCGCGGCTTTGTCTCCAAAGGTTTTCTCTACCCCTTACCGGTGGCCCGAGGAGGAGAACTTGAGGGAGGCCCCAGACTTCCAGCCTGCATCCCAGCTGCGAAGCCCACCCCCAGAGCCCAGCTATGCTGTGCGCCAGCTGCTAGTGGTGATCATTGTTGCAAGCACGGTGACTGTCGGCATCATCCTCCCGGACCTCTCTGTGGTGTTTGGGCTCACAGGGGGCTTTTGCGGAGGTCTTGTGAGCTACTGCTTTCCAGGAGCTTTCTATGTACGCGTGGCTCGGAAGAAGAGCGAGCGTCTTCCATGTGGACCTTGGCTGGGCCACTTGCTTGTGATGTTTGGTCTCCTAGCAGGTGTCTTTGCCTCCGGTGTGGTTGCATGGCAGGCAAGCGCACAGTAGATCTCGGTTCAGAGGGAGTGTGAAAGCTGAGCGAAAAAAGTGCCTGTGACCTGTCCTACTGTGGATGGAGGAAATGTTCCACCACCCTCTATTGCCCGATGGAGGAAATGTTCCACCACCCTCTATTGCCCCAGGAAGGAAATTACAGTACTTTGGGGATCGAAAGTGGTGCAAGATTTCTGCCATCCACCGTAGCTGTAGAATTCAGCTGTGCCAGAATCAGAATAAACATGATCGTACTAAAAATACTAGCTTAGTGGTAGTAATATCAAAATACTAACGACCCTTATAAGGGTCCATCCTGTTGCGTGGCGAGGTGGCCCGGTCACGACTCCGAACCTTGGAGCAGCAGACGGGGTGCTGGACCAAGCCAAACAGTTGGGAGGTTTTCGGGGACATTACCCCAAAAAGGAGAATCAAATGGAACATAAAATGGAAACTGGCATTATGTATGACATAGGGTTTCCCAAAAGTAGGGGTACCATTTTGGGGGGGGGGTCCCTATAACAAGGACTAAAGTATCTTGGGGTTTGTATTGGGGTGCACCTATTTTGGGAAACCTTACTAAGCAGTCATGTCACGCAACTGTATGTCCAGGTCTCAAATCGAGATTCATGTCCTGGGCGGCCGGACATCCGGAGACGGGACCCTGGATTCAGGTTTTAGGGTTATATCCTCAAACCTTCGAATGTTCCTGCAAAACACCCGGAAACCCAGTTTTCATGTCATGTTCCGCATTCTTTCCAGTTTGGTTCTCCATACTCCTATAATCTAAACCCTGTATAGCAGTATTACATCAGTATATCTTTACATAGTCCCTATGTAGCCCTGTATATCTTTATATAATCCCTATGTAGGCTTGTATACCTTTATATAATCCCTTTGTAGCCCTCTATATCAAGCGAGTCCCAACGCTAAGCCCTAAATTGCATGATGCGACCTGAGGTGCACCAGATGACCATCGCGGGAACAAGGCCACAAGGGTACTGGGACAGGTGTGTACATACATATGAGCTATAGTCAAAACTCCTGAAAAGCGGTTATATAGGGGAGTATACTAGGGGTCATTAAGGAGGATACTAGGACTTTAGACTAAAGTCCATATGAGCTAAAGACTACAGTAGGTTGGGGGGGACCTGTTAGGAGTATGTTAGAACTTTAGTCCAAGGCTCATATGTATACACACCCACACATGGAGGTTTCAATAAAGAGAGGAATAGAGAGGGGGTCTCCAATATGGACCCCAATATGTTGTTGGGACCTCCCCGAAAAGGGCCCCTAATTCATGGGAACCCTGAACCCTAATCCCTAAAACCCATCTCCCATTTCAAAACCCTTGCAAAACCTCTAGAATCCTTTTCAATCATGGGAACCCCCGCATGTACTGTACATGAAGCATGAAGAAGTGCCTCGAGATCGCGTGGTAAGAGGGTTCCAGGGTTGCACGCCCTTTATGAATCAACGTTGTCTTCTAAGATTCCTTGAAAGACAGCCCTAAACCATACACCCTGAATCCTGAACCCTAAACCTTAATCCCTTAACCCTAAACCCAAAAACCCAAAAACCCTTGACCCTAAAACCCTTTATTGCAGGTCTGGGAATGCCCTGGCCATCCTTCACCTCCAGGCCAGTTTAGGGTTTTTGGGTTTAAGGGTTTAAGGTTCAGAGTTTAGGATTTAGGGGCTTAGGGTTTAGGATTTACTGCTTAAATCTAGGATTTAGGGCTTATCTTTTTTGAGGCATTTCCCCTGGAATGGAGCACCAAGGTGAGACGAACATCGAAAAGTAAACGGAAACTGGCTTATAGAAGGCATATATAGGGACATACAGGGTTAAGGGCTACAACAATGGCGTTTTTGAAGTATATGGACCCACTCAGGGACATGCTGAGGAGTTGCAAAGAACATTTCAACGGATTTCATATGAAGGGACAGTGCCGGTATCAAAGTTGAGGCTCCGCATGCGGAAGATCTACATAACTAGTTCCAATATAGCCGTATAGCCCGGATACTCCACAAGGGTCCTTCTACAAGAGCTTATCCACTTCAAGCTAGAACCCATGAACCCGGCCAGCATCCTGCCATCACTAAATCCCTCTACATACCTATGAAACCCTTAAGTCTCCATCTCATGTTCCATGTTCTTTTCCGTTTGATTCTTTCTTATAAGGCTACATATTACAAACGCAAAATCGCCCAAGACGCCCTACAACATTCCTATACATTATCCATGCACACCCCTCAAGTCCTAAACCCCAATGCCTCAGCCACAGCAAATCCTGCACAGTAAAGCTTTGCAGTCCCTCTTAGGTAGATAGACTATGGGCTACGGAGATCTTATTTTCTGACTACGGGGAATCCCATATTCTATTTACTTATATAAGGGCGACTATACTTGCTGGTGGTTATATAGTAGGGAATGAGGGAATATAATCCCTACATTGTCCCTGTATAAAGATTCCCTTGTCCCTACTACCTACCAGAAAGTATATTCCCTTTAGGTAGATAGAATTTGGAATTCCCCCAAACTATTACTAAGATCCCCGTATAGCCCATATTCTACTTACTCCAGGGGGGACCATACCCTAAACCCTAAGCCCCATATCACCTAAGGGGGACTATACCCTAAACTCTAAACCCTAATCTAGTTTAGACCACGACAAGTCTTTACCCAGACCCCATAAAGGATCCAAGAATTGGAGCTCCCCAATATGACTCATACTAGATTGGGGAAACTCATGGATTATTAGGGGGTTCCATGTTTTTGGATCCTTGAAGGGGTCTGGGGTAGGAGCTTTTTGCGGATCACCTGAAGCCGGGCGGGAGTGCTGCCGTTCAAGTGGCATGGGTACCCAGCCTTTGGGACGGTTTAGGGTTATGGGGTTTATAAAGGGATAATGGAAAAGAAAGTGGAAACTACTACAATGGGATTTAGGCTTAGGGGTTATATAGGGGTTATGTGTAGGGGATAATGGAAAAGAAAATGGAAACCATTATTTATGTAGGGTCTAGGGTTTAGGGCTTCGGGGTACCTTAGAAGGGGATATAGGGGGTCTACTGGGGTTATATTGGGGTTTAGGGCACAGGGTTTCTGGTTGAGGGTCTAGGGCTTAGGCTATAGGATATCAGGCTTTGGGATCAGGGTTTAGCTCAGGCTGTAGTGTTAAGGGTTTAGGGTTTAGGGCTCAGGCTGTAGGATTTAGGGCTTAGGGCCTTCAGGCTTATGGGCTCCGGGTTCAGCGGTACAGGGCTCTGTGCGTCAGGAGTAGAGACTGATCGTTTCGGGATCTGGGCGCGGAGGTTAGAGTTTAAGGTGGGGGAGTGAAGGGGTTATGAGTGCAGGGCTTTAGGGACTAGGAACATTTAAGCCCAAGCATTTATATGTTCTGAGGGTTGGTAGGAAGTTAACTGACTGTAGTTCAAAAATCTTCCCTGAGTCTTAGGTTAGGCATGTGGATTGCCATGTTTGTTGCTTCTTGGATAGCGCGCCCAGGCCATGTGTTGCGAGTTTGTTGTCTGTTTGCCCTTACGGTTACTCGCACCATCTGTAGCTGCTATCAGCATCATCATCATCAGGGTCATATGACCGTCATCTTGCTGATTGTCAAGAATATGACTATCACCATAGCTGCTAGAACTGCTAGTACAAACGTTGCCACACTTGCTTTGAACTAACGAGTTTACTTATGATGTTCGAAGTGCCAGAGCTGACGATGCCAGCAAAAACTTTGGCCATGTGTGCCCAAAATGCCAAAACTTTGACTACTGCAACGCGTGGACTCTGGCTCGAATATGATGAACATGCCCATCCTGCGCTCTAAATCCCATTCCACGTCCTGAACCTGATTTCAAATCCTACGGCCATTAGTTCAAAATACTGAAGCCAGAAAACAATCAACCCCAACCTGACACCAGAGCCAGCTGCTAAAGCCTAAACACTTAGGGTATATTAGTTTCCATTTTTTCCATCATCCCTATACAACCCTAGATACCCCCTATATTATTCCTATATATGCTATATATCCTTATATATCCCTATATAACCCCTTATAGCCCTGTTATCAAGGTGGCCCGGGAGCGTGCCGAGCGCAGCGAGCGCACGGCCGCGAAGCCGGTGGCAAAGCCGAAGCCGAAGCCGGCGCTGAAGCCGGCATCGAAGCCTGGGCTCACTTGAGCTAAGGGGTTATATAGGGGTTAAAAAAGATTGTAACTACTATTTAGGGTCTAGGCTTTAGGGTTTAGGGTCTAAAGTCCTTAAACGGGTCTAGGGGAGTATCACAGGGGTAAAAAGGCGGATACTAGGAGTTTAGACTGTAGCTCACTTGAGAAAAGGCCAACAGTTTCGGGTGAATGGTTTTGGTTGAGGATGAAGGGTTCAAGGCTTAGGGTTTTAGGAGGATATAGATACTGAGGAGTTGTGACAAGGGGAGGGGTTTTACTCGCATCAGTCTGGCCACTGGCACTTTAACACAGAGTGTTTGATATTACCATTCACCGGCTAAACAGCGTTTTAAGAATAAGCTGTAGGTGCTTAAACCAACCTGCACCCTAAGCCTATGTTTCCTGCGGTGGGCGCATTACTTGTAAGTGATAGGCGACCCATGGCAATGACACCGGTATTGAGCTTACAGAATCCTGGATCTTTGATCTTCAAACCACGTCTGCCCAGTGGATCTTACCTATCATGCGGTGGGTTTCCTAAAATTGGGGTACCATTTTGGGGGTCCACATAATAAGGACTACAATATTTTGGGGTCTATATTGGGGTCCCCCTATTTTGGGAAACTACCAAACAGACGTTGCAAAAAAAAAGGGTTTTCGGCAAACACCCATTTCGCCTAGGAAGCCAAAGCAGCGGGCCGCCAGCATCGGTCGGGCTCAGGCGCGAGAGGCGCAGATGCAAATACAGATAAATGAACGGTTTAGGGTGTTAGGGTTTAGGGTCTGAGGCTTCAAGTTTAGGGTAGTATCCATGGTTCCTCTTTGCTGAAATCCCCCAGG